AGCTCAGAGAGCACCAAGGACCTCACAGTCCTCCTTCTCCGCCTCCTTTTTCTTCTTCCACCTCCTCCTCTTTCTTCCTCTTCCTCCTCCTCCTCTTTCCTTCTAGCACTGATGAGGTTACCTAGTTGGGTCTTGAAACGTCTCCAAGAAAACCACCCAGCTCAGAGAGCACCAAGGACCTCACAGTTCTCTTCCTCTTTCTCCTCTTCCTCCTCCTCTCTCCTCCTATTCCCACCCTCCTCCTCCTCCTCTCCACCATCCCCATTCCCTTCTAGCACTGATGAGGTTACCTAGTTGGGTCTTGAAACGTCTCCAAGAAAACCACCCAGCTCAGAGAGCACCAAGGACCTCACAGTTCTCTTCCTCTTTCTCCTCTTCCTCCTCCTCTCTCCTCCTATTCCCACCCTCCTCCTCCTCCTCTCCACCATCCCCATTCCCTTCTAGCACTGATGATGTTACCTAGTTGGGTCATGAAATGTCTGGAACAAAACCACCAAGCTCAGAGAGCAGCAAGGACCCCACAATTCTCTCTTCCTCCTCCTCTCCACAATCCCCATTACCTTGTAGCACTGATGATGTTACCTAGTTGGGTCACGAAATCTCTGCAAGAAAACCACCAAGCTCAGAGAGCACCAAGGACCCCACAGTTCTCCTCCTCCTCCTCTTCTTCCACCACCACCTCCTCCTTGCAAACCCCATTCCCTTGTAGCACTGATGATGTTCCCTAGTTAGGTCATGAAATGTCTGCAAGAAAATAAGCAAACTCAGAGAGCACCAGGGATACCCCAGTCCTCTTCCCCCTCCTTCTCTTCCTCCTCTACATCCTCCTCCTCCTCTCCACAAACCCCATTCCCTTCTAGCACTGATGATGTTCCCTGGCTGGGCCATGAAAAGTCCGCAAGGAAACCGCCCAGCTCAGAGAGCGCCAAGCACCCTCTCAGTTCAACCCCAACCTACAAACCGTCTCTTCCGTCTTCTAAAATCCCCACGCAGCACGAATCCCCCTCGTTCCTGTCTCTGTCTCCCTCGAGGGGGTGTCAGGGCGGTAGAACCGTCGTATATTTGGAGGGGGCAAGAAAACGGGGCGAAACCCCCCCCCCCCGGGGCCCCCGCGTTGAACTCCCTGCTTTGCTTTCCCGCAGAGAGAAGGCTCTGGCCCTGACCGGCAACCAGGGGATCGAACAAGCCATGGATTGGTAGGTATGCTTGCCTCCTTCCTGAAACGCCCTCTCCCCCTTCCTCCTCCCCTCGTCCCTTCCGAACGGCCGCTGTCTCTCTCTCCGATGCAGGTTGGTGGAACATGAGAACGATCCCAATCTGGACGAGCCCTTCACGGATCCTCCAGTGCCCGTTCCGGATGCCGAGGAACCCGCCAAAGGAACGACGCCGGAGTTGGAACAAGGAGGGTCAGGTCAGAAATAAGTCTTTATTTTTTTCCTTTCAAATACGTTCACAAATCCACATTCTTGTAAGTACTCATCACCTTCGTCTCTTAACGGCAAACCTTTATCTGTCAACTCCTAAAGTTGTTGTGGTGAGAGAAGGGGAGGGGGGGAAGCGAATTCCACGCATTCTTGTGGCGAAAGTCGGATCTCCGATTGCCGCAGCAGGCTCGGGAGGGGTGCACCTCATTGGGGAATGTGATTTACGACACAGACTGAGAGGAGGGGGAGGAACCGGGGGTGAAGCTCAGCCGTAACTCAAGCGAGGCTCAGATCTGACTGCGAAAAGATCTTGCCAAAACAAATGCTGCTAAGAAATGACTGGTTTTCTTTTGAAACTTGGCTCGAGACTCATGAATCAATTAGGGCCTTTTTAGGAAACCTGACGCTGTCACTATCTTCTTACAAATATAAAGAACACGATTGGGGTCACTTTCTTGCCACCCCATATCTCATGACAACCCTCCTTCCTTTCTTCCTTCTCAACCTCCCTTCTCTGCCTTCTTCTTTCCTCCTCTCCTTCCTCTTTTCTTCTTCCCTTCTCGGCAGTGGATTATGGTTTTCATTGGCCCTTCCCTTGGAAAGATCCAAGTGGACTTTTTCTTCCCGTAGGTGAGCTGGCAGAAGGAGAGACGCAGCGTCCCCTGACGGAAGAGGAAAAGCAGGAACAGA